TTGTTTATTTTATGAAAAATAACACAATTTTATTGTCAACAGTAAGCGATTCGTTTCACTTTACCCATAATTGTTTTCATGTAAATTTTATATTTAATTTTCTTTTAAAAATAATTACAAATATTAGTCTGAGATTGACTTTGTGGATTTCATTGCCTGTATTCCTATTTACACAAATGTGGTTTAGTATTTGCATACAGGGACGTCTTGTATGTTTGATGCTTGTTCTGCATATACCCAGTACCCAGCCAAAGAGGAGAGTGTAATAAAGGTCAAATGTTTTGATGACATACAGACACACTGCGCAGACCAATTATCTCTTATTTATATTATAAACCTTTAAGCTTCGTAGAAAACTATTTGATCATAATGCATGCCCCTGCTTTATTATGTTATATAAAAGTAAATCTACCTTATAAAGTCCAGTTAATACAGATTATTAAATATTGTAGTTATGTGTTTTGTAACTTAGATTTGGTCAAATTGCAATTTTGTGGCAAATTGATAATGTGGCGATTTCTATGTTCATTCCAGAGTTGGAGTTATCAAGTTTGATAAATTTAAACCAAGTTATACGAGTATGTGCTATGATTGTTGCACACATCACACAGCACACAACTCTTAGTTATACATAAGCACCAGCGGAAGGTGCGCGTAGTTAGCAGTTATTATTTATCGAACTGGTTCCCGAGCCGAGTGTTATTGCTGCGGCGCACCAACACGCGCCGCCGCCGCCACCGCCGCCGCCGCCGCCGCAAACCCACCTCACTACCAGCATAATTGCAACTGGAAAAATTGCCCATTGTATACAGGTACGTCTTCACAGCGCTGGGCGATAATGCGCCTCGCATAAATGCCGCCTGAGAGTTACGATGCGCATCGAGCCTAGCACCGACCGCAAACTGATAATCGTTTCCATACCATATCATTGTTACACGATACTCCAGCGGTATCGTGTCACTCAGCGATGCGTCGCTTGGCGCATATCGTACGAGGGCACCTGCAGCCTGCTTTTAATTCGTAGTTCGTAGCGCTCGACGTCACCGCTGCTCATCACCATAACTGCATCACGAATTATATCGGACGCGAGGTTAATTTGCGTGAGAACCGCTTACGTAATGCGCGCAAACATGTTGGCCGGCACACGGCGACCCGTGAGAAGCCACCTCAAATATAGAGCGTCGATAACGATACTCTGCTATAATTGATACAAGCCCGCCACTCCGTCCGCTCGTTAACATTTGTTTGCACCTCGCCTCGCCCGAATTAACTAACCAAATTACCGGCCGCTCCTTATAAAGACTCGCGTTACCGCCAATCGGTCTGGTGGCGAGTTCTCATGCGCCCACTACTCGTAGACGAGCGTGGGGCTGCCTTCTTGTATATTATTGATCGTCCACTCCTATCTAATATTATATATGAATGGCGGCGTAGGTAGGCTCGTGTAATTTTAAAAATTTACAGTTACGACGCCATCGACAAAACGATACCGGTGTGGAGCTTTAACGCGGTCGTATCTCCTAATAACTTACAATAACAATTTTATATCTGACGTTGACGGTTCCGTTCTGGTGGCCAGTGCGTCTCGATACCGACTCACCGCTCCTGTAATACGGTCTACAATAGATCGACGCAGATTGCAGTATCACGGGGCGACAATTTGTGAAGTTGTCTCGTTTGGGGCGTTATTTATCGCCTCCGAGAGTACGGAGGAGCAGGCTGGCCGGCGGCCGGTCTCCAAATAATAATAATGTTTTTATTACCCGGCGATTCATCGCTCCGATCCGAGCAGCGATAATGAACATTATTGGTTGACTTCTCGCTGCTCCGCTTCTTTGTTGTTTGCTCGCTGAAGTTCTACAAAAGATGCACTAGACGACTCACTGACAGCATATCAAATGTAAATGAAGCTACTATATTCTAACAACTTTACAAGAAAACATTCGTCGTCAAACAAATGCATCACGTACCTGCTAACGTGTCAAAGCCTTGACTATTATTATGATGACGAAAATATTCTATATTCCTGAACTCTGCTCTTCTTAATTATTACAAGAGCACTGCAATTTCAATTGCCTCTTGCAATTATGCTATTTTCGTCCTACCTTAATATAGTCAACCAATTTCTTAGTTCATTTGAAAACGTACACGAATAAAGTCTCAATTAAGATTTTACTAATAGGCAGGCACTTGTTGCAAAACGTGCGACTAAATGAACGCCAACAAGCGAGAGGCTGCCTGTCGACCGTGCTCGTATTTCAGCTAACGGTATGTGTGACAGCACTATGCAGACGTTAGACGCCGGCGAGTAGGCGGCCAGGCGGGCTGCGGGCGGCGACAGGAGCAGCGAGCTGGGAGAGGACCGCGCGCTGTAGGTACGCTGTCGATACACTATCGGCGCGCGACGGATGTGTCTCAGGATAACATCTCGCAGCTTCCGCCCATTTATCTGCCACGTCTCAGCAACCGCAATCCGTGCCACTCTCCACCTCACCCCTCCGCTCATCCACCGTTCTACAGCGGTATAGGGTACATGTCGTATGTCCACTTGCGATCTCACATCTGTCGTGCATCATTACAAATATTCAATACAATTTAACACTGTGGAAGGTATGTTTAAAACTCGCTAGTTTGCTGATCTGTTTGACAGTTTAATACTGAAGACAGTCGTTGTGCCAAGATCCTCTCGAACTTGTCTCTCATATAAGTACATTTTTTTTACATTTTGCCGAATACATAGAACCTAATTAACTTTTAAATAAGCCTCTTAACATCTGCTGAGAAGACTAATATAAACAACTGAACATTTCTAAATGCAAAAGCTTTCTACTACACTCTATTACCAAGACGTTATTTAGTCGTCTATCCTTAATGACAGAACTGTATAATTGCAATATAATTTCGTACAAAAATAAATAACAATGCAGGATTAATCATTTCTCTTATTATATAATAAAAATTTTATACAATGTGACAAAACAATAGGAAAACAGTTCTTGAAAATATCGATGGAAATCATAGAAAATGCTATTCAAAAAGCTCACTTGATTAATACTGGGCAAATATAGGTTATTAGAAATTTGAATTAGAAAAAACAGCCTTGTAAAGTACACTAGTACATATATTCCATTTACATTAATTACCTATTTAGCCAGCAGCTGCGTTTTTGGAGAATATCTTTAACTCTTATTAAAAACTGACGATTTCTTAGTATTTGTCTTGTAATACATAAATTATAAAAAACTATGCGTGTAGTGTTTAACTACACGTAACTTCAAAAAAGCCCAAATCAATCACGTTGTTTTCAAACATACCTGATTGCTTTCACGCGTCTAGATAAATTGTACATTCGACATGAGACATGCACAGCTTGCGCCTTTTACATTATTATGAGCATCAGGTTTTTAAAAAAGTAACTACAAGTGACTTTTTTCTTTTTTATCGTTAAAGCGTTCGTTTTTAGTCGATACTTTATTGCAATCGCACGATAATCACGCGTGCTTAACACCGTACACGTCAATTGTTTAGTCATCAAGCCAATTTAGAAGCTACTCGTTTGCCAATTTACCAAATTGTCTCCCCGGACGGCGATCGAGCCTCATTTACGTGCGGCGAACACCGCGTCGCGTCGCGGAGATGGTCACGAGCGCGGAATGTAATGAGTTTACTCAAATGTGGCACGCAAGTAGGCAGTGTGCGTTGTCGTAAAAGGGAATACACAGCACACGTGAGTGATGGTACGCGGCCGGTGCCACGCGGTGTGTGTGCGGTGTGGCGGCGTGGCGGCGCGGCGAGGGCGTGGGAACTGCGCGCGTCAGCGGCGTGACATCCGCTGCCACCACCATCTACCACCGGTGTTGGCGACGTGTACCGCACCACTCGCACACGACACCTCTACTTCTATACTACTAACTTCCTGCGGTATTCATTGATCCCAAAAAAGGTCCTTAATTCGACTCTTTTTTGGCTATTTCGAATTGTATTGACTAAAATCTATTGATTTAGTTAGGATCGGTGTACACCAGCACACACAGGTGAAAACAATCTATATTAGGTAACCACTTTTAATTTTTAATTAAATATAATAATTTTATATCAGCTGTGCCCGCCACTGGATATAAACCTCCTCCATAAGTGGGGGGGGGGGGGGAGAGGTTGTCAATAGTTACCACGCTTCGTAGGCGGGTTGGCAACCGTTAAATATAAAAGGACCCAGATGAATATCATATGATGATTTTACAGTATAATGTAAAAAAATCATTAAGGCGTTATGTTCCTTTTACTACATATATACTTTTTTACTTCAGATACACAGTTCTGATCAAATTTTAAAGTTACAAGTTATAATTTCACTTCACACCAAATACAGTATTTACTTAGAATAACAAATATTCTTTATATCATGTGATTGGTGATAACATATTGTAATATTCTGAAAAAACAAAATATTAAAGTTGATATAGAGTCAAAAGTAGAGTCAAGTATAAACAAATATTATAATTGCCATAATGTAATTGCGTTTCATTTAATGAACTGACCATTACTGTTATAAATATATAAGTTTATAAAATTTGTTAGATATAAATAAATAAAACTTTAAGTACTCATTTCAATATTAACTGTAAAAATTATGAATTATTTATAAGTTACGTGCCCGAGGTTAATATGATCATATTAGTGCTACATCTGTCTCTAGTTTCCAACAAAGTAAATTTTCCCACGAGGTCCCACTCACAAGTTCTCATTTGCGAATTCGCAAGTGGACTACCCGCCCCATCCAGCATCGCGCCCTGATCGCAGATCGCTGACATGGCACAGAGTGCGCAAGCGACGGGTGCAGGGTGCAGGCTGTGGCGGCGGGCGCCCCGCTGCACTCGGCGCAGCTTGCGAGCGGCGAGCGAAGCGAACTGCACGCTGCAATAAAAATAAATCAGTGCTCGCGGGATTAAAAGCTCCGGGGGCCGGGGCGGGGCCGCCGGCGCGCGGGCGGGGGGGCGCGCCGCCGCCGGCAGTTCCAAGCCGAACATCGCGCCGATCGCACGCGCCGCCGCCAGCGTGCCCCAGTGTCTGAGTGCAGTGTCGAGTGTGTGTGCCAGTGTGCTCGAGCCGGGAGCTGTGCGACGGTCGCCACCACGTGGCGGCATGCGGCAGGCGCGCGCGCCCCGGCGGCGCCCTGCGCTGCGCTGACCCGATGCGCCGAGTGCAGTCCGCGCGGCACCTGCCGCTGCTGCTCGCCCTCGCCCTCGCCTGCCTGCTGCGAGTACGTCACCACACCACCACCCTCCACACCCCGCCACATCACATCTGCGTCACATCGCCACATCGTCACATCGTCACGCGAACATCCAAACCTCTTGTGAACTGAATCTTTCCCACTAGCAGTTTATTAAGAAGTTGCCCAGAGATCTGAATAAGATCCGCTGGGGTGACAGCCCCAAAACATCCTATAATCATGATGCACGTGACTCAAACACATAATATGCACTAAACGTACCCTAAAAAGCAAGCCAATTGCGCGAACTGCCAGCTACTGATAGCATGCACCACAATGATATAAACTGAGTCGCACTCGTTGCTTCGTTTTCTGTATAAACAGCAGTTGTATTATTTGGTCGATACCTAAGTACCTCATAACTTTTCTATTATATTCTACGTGATTATCAATCAATCAAGCGACCATTTATTTACATTGCTCTACCTTAATCCAACTTGACGATCAAATTACTTCTAACAGGGCATGCAGCTGTAAAACAAAGCTAAAAATAAGTTTATGCACCAGTCGTTTATATTATAAGTGCATTATTTACTTTATATGTATTGTAAATAAATCAATTTATGTACTATCGAGTACAACGTATGCTGACTGTAAACAACATAAGTTTGAAAATCTCTCGCTGGTGTTTTCCATTGACATTAAATAGATCGGTTAAATTTGCAAAACAAAGAATATTTAAAGCACTAAACTAATATAATTTGTTAACATTAGGTATTATTATTCTTTTTCTTATAGCAGCCGCATGAAAATAAACTTTTGTAAGCAATGATTTAACTTGATATATGAAGCTCAATTTTAAATACAGAGAATACGCAACAAAATATATAACAGATTATCTACTTTTATCTATCTATCTATACTTACAACAAATCTCAAGAGAGGTCAATTCTGTACATGAAATATATTTACAAAATAACACTATCAGGGGGTAAAATATTTTGTCTGTCTGACTATATGTTCGTTATAGAAACAAAAACTACTCGACGGATTTTAACGAAACTTGGTACAATTATTCTTCATACTCCTAGACAGGTTATAGTATACTTTCCATCACGCTACAATCAATAGGAGCAGAGCAGAGAAGGGAAATGTTGAGAAAACGGGAGAAGTTACTCCATTTTAAGCTTCCGTCGTGTGTGCAGCCTTAATGGCCACTTTTTAAAATGTAAAAATGTCGACCCGTGAGAAGCCGGGACGGGCCGCTAGTACAAAATAAATCTAAAGATTCTAAATCCATAAATTAGAAAACTACTACTGTTTAGGTATCTACAATATTTACAAACAGTTACCGAGATATGTGATTTATTTGTAGTATTTACAGCATACAAAAAACAATAAACATAGATCGTCGTTATGCAGCGAAAATTCATCAATTACAAAAAGCAGATTCTGAGAATAATCGCGTTTGAATATTTTTTTACGTAAAAATCGACATAGCTTCTAAATGCTATCAAACACATTTGTAGGAAGAAAACATAGCTTACATTTTAATAAAACTACGTGTAACGAATGAAATTCAACAGCTGTTTATTTGTTTAAACTAGATAAAATAAAAAAATCAACTTAATTAGTTTTCGCGGAGAAAGGTCCAATAGAATTGGTACTTAATATTCTGAAATTTCAAAAATATGAAAAAAATGCTTATATTGTTTAAAGTAGAGTAGATTATTGTATTTCAAACCAAATGGGGCAAAAAAAGAGGTTTCGCCCAAAATTTTAGTGATTTTTCGCAGCACATCGACGAAATAAACACGTACAAAATAAGTGAAAAATAAAATAAAAAAATTACATACATTGTTTGTCGTGTGTGTATTACAGTAACACGACTTGGTTTATTGCTTTGTCCTTAAAACAGAAAAATTCTAATTTTCTATTTTGGCTAAAAGCCAGCCGCGGAATCCCTAGCAAAAAAAAAAAAAGAAATCTTTGTGTCCATTATAATTATGACTGTTTAATATTTTAACCTAAATTAATAAACAATAGAACTGTACTGATATCCGAATATAATTAAAAACTGCCCGAGGCCAGTCTCGATCACACTCGAGCATTCCAGTGATAAATATTTCCGCTACATGCCTATTATGTACGCCAATTTTTTGTTTATTAAATCGATTCTTGTAATATTTTCATCGATATGTATTATTTATTAATTTATTATATTTTTAGATGAACTGTCATAGTGCTGTTTACTGTATAGATAATCTGGTAGTATTATTTTATTGTTACCCTATTCCCTTTGGCCGCAGCAGTATATCAGTGCTTTGCTCTTTTGAGGGCAAAGCAATAAACTGAGTTGTGACCATTTTGTATTGTTAAAGCACAGGCACAAAAGGAATAATTTTACTTGGCTTTATGTATTTTTATTTTAATAATTTCTCTTATCTCGCTTCTTATATATATCTGTATCTGTTATAATTTGTGTGCTGTAAGTAATGCAAATAAATTATCTATCTATCTATATTCAATTAATATATTTATATATATCTTATTCATTCTATTACTACAGCAAAAGACATTAAAAATTTACAAAAAAAAAAACATGGCGCCTTACTTCAATTTAGTGTTATAAAATTTTCTGAGATTTTTGTAAATCGAAATGTATCCCAAGGAATGCAAGTTCCATTTTATTTGTCTTATTTAATTTCCAAACGCGTGTTAACGATCAGTTTGTAGTGGTAACGGTCGCGGTGGGGCGCAACTCGGCGATGGTGTGGTGTGTGGAACGCTCTGGTACGTGGTACGCGGACGCCGTCCTCATACTAATGCCACGGTGGCTCCGCTGGATACGTTACTGCGTACCAGTTCACGCGGCTATGTCGCCCGTCGCTCCCATCACTGATACGCAGATAAATAGTACAGTACAAATAGTACAAGGCGAACCACAGCGGTCACGATCGACATATGTATATATAGTAGCAATCTGACAAAGGAACACTCTTATACTGTGATAGATCTAAAATGACTATTATCAATCATCAACATCATCAAATCAGCCATTATCTGTCCCCTACTAAACATAACCCTCTCTCAATTCAGGTTTTTTTGCCAATATTTGCTATTTTTGACAGGCGGGTTAACAACCGCCGTTAGGCTTTGGTGACGTTTTAAACGAGACACTGCTGCCCATCGATTATCGATCAATTAATATTAAATCAAATTTATCAATAAAATATTATACAAATAGAAGAAAGCATATTTTACAATAGAAATAAACACAAAGTTATTGTTAAACATACTGATATTACTACATGTGTGTATAGCGTACATACTCATTGTTTATCTATTAAGGTTACACGTTTATGTAGTACAATAGATGACTGCCCATCGTTGACTGAAAAATTATCGTAAACAACTTGACAAGTCATACTGAACTAAATGTATTTTGTGTGATTAAAATGTAGTTTGTATCGTTCTTTGTATATATTTATATTACAAATATGTTTATATACAATGTACACAAATTTATTTATTTATAGGATCACCAACAGATACAGCGAAACATTTCAATACAATACACTGGTAGATAAGATCTAACTGTTCTTACATTTATAGGCAACCACAGCGTCATTATTAAATATCATTAAATGAGTGCAAATATTACAATATGAATAATAATGTAATGTAATGTAATCGAGTGACTATTTTTATTTTAAAAAATATCAATTTAATTTACATATAAGGGTTTACTAGAAGAAATCTCTTATTAGAGTGGGCTCGCCATTGTACATTACGTTTAAAATTAACTGTTCTTAACATTATGTTTGTGTACAATAAAGAATAAATTGATAAACCAGTGCCCAAACCAAAATTTTATAATACTCTGAAATTATAGAAAGTGACTTTAACTATGGAGATTTCGAATGACAAAGACGTATAATACTCGAGTCAAAATTAATATTCAACTACTTATTCATTATTTCAAAAACGTTTACAAGATTAAAGTGGGCAATTTTAGTCTTAAATTTACACATTTTGTATTCAAAAATTTATCATTTTGTATTACGTATTCCATCACACGTATTCGCGTGTACCGGACACATGTAAAAAAAATTGACGACCGCTTGTACAATTTTATTGTCGTGTTATTTCTAAATGTATATCTTTGTCCATTTCGGACACGATACATTCATACCGACACCCGCAGCTTAATTGGCATACGGCTTTCCTTACACGTCATCTTACTAAATCTGCAATATTTAAACAGTACAGAATTCATTAAAATCAATTATTAAAATATATTGATACTTTAAAGAATACGAACTTCATAAGACTAACCCAAATAGAGATAAATTCAATTCTAGTTTTTTATACTACTATGGTAGCATACGGCACGTCTGATTGTAAACGTTGTGATGTCACATCTGCGTTGCCGACCCTTAAGAAACCTTATTACGTCCTTTTTGAGTAACTCTATGTTGTACTATAGTCATTAGGGAAAACCTCGGCAGGAAGATAACTCCACTAACTGAGCGTTCAAGAAAAAAGCTCTTCTGAATCCTTCTAGACGACATGATTTAATTTGTTGGACCATTCTAAATATCTCTCCTCTCTCTCATTCTTTCTCTCTCTCTCTCTCTATTTCTGTCTCGAATCCTCGTTTGTCTACTACAAACAATATTTACTTACTTTTGGAATGAACTTTTCGATGTTAATATAAATAAATGCTATTCCCTAAAAGTATGGTTTAAAAAGTATATACATCTACAACATTAAATGCACTAAGTAACGACACAGACACATCAAAAATAAATATAAATAAATAAATCCCAACATTTGTAAACAGATTCCGGCTCGGGTGTAGTGGAATGGTTGCAGGATATTCATTGTCCGGTTCCTCGTAAAACATTATAACGTGGCGGTCAGTTCGGGGGCGATGTGTACGCGAAATTTATTATTATTATTTCAATGAGTTCCGACTGTTCTTTCGTCGTGACAAATGACGTCGGCACGACGGTACCCGCTGTACCGTATCTGATACACTTGTA